TGATATGATGAACTGATATTTTGCAAATTAACGATTTACGATATGGTTTTTCCTATTTTACTGAGTAACTCTGTAATTTTCGTTAAATACAATTCGGTTGCCCTCACCTGTGTTCTCCTTCACTACAGTACTACCTTGTGAACGTCTAAAGGAGGTCAGTCCTATAGAGCTGTTATTTATACGACGACAACGTGTCATAAAATGACCACCTTTCCGCTTTTTCCAACCAGTCCTAACAATTGGAAACAATGTACACAATGTGGAATTCACTAGGATGATATTCGTAGTACATGTCCATAGCGGTGTTTTAAGATGATAGTGGAAAGATTAGGGATCGGAGATGTGATTCCAAGAGTTACAAAACAGTGAAATACATTTAGAAGGGGAATAAAGGTCATGAGGAATCCTGAAGCTTAGAATTTCAGAGAAGACAAAGAATGGATGCATCTACGCTATTGCAAACGATTTCAAGCCACGTCATTCAAAGTGTCTAGCCATCAGTTATGATAATCACGTAGACCCAAATCAGGTAGTCCAAACCTACTAACATCGCTCAGTCCAGTTGTCAGTGACTTCATGGATTTGTGTTATGTTTTCGTTTGGACCCCCTAGCATTCTTCCAGCCTAATACTACATCAGTGTCCCAACCGCCATTGAATAAAAGAAGAAGACTTGATATGAAGTAGAACCTGTATTCTACAAGCATCCAGAAAGTACGAGGTCCGAGTCCAGAAGATAAGGATCTCGGACTAAGGATCCCGGTCCTGGTACAGGTTATAAAACGTTACAGATAATGCGTATTTGTACATTTAGGTCGAATAGGAAACAGCATCGAAGTCTGTGACATTGACAGTTAAGGCGACCAATTAAAAAAACATTTGAAGTGACATTGATAGTCAGGACGACCAATAAGAAACAACATTGAAGTGCGTGATGTTGATAGCTAGAACGACCATAATACTAACTAATAGGAATCGACCAATAGAATTTGCACTTACAAAATGATTCTTCGTAGGATATTTATTTAGTGAATACCCTAATAGCGTTTCACTGATTTCAAGCACCTCCAGGTTGTATCTTTTCACATCTCTGCAGCGATTGGGAACAGTCTTCTGATGTCCCGAATTGTACGAATACTCCAAGTACCTGAATTAATGGTTGCTTTGGTTGTCGGAAGGGGCATCGGCCTCGTGACTTCCGAAGAAACTCGGCTCTTCTAAACGATAACCTTTCAACTCCCATAGCATAGTTTGAATGGCTTGAGTTTTATTTTCTGGTTAGCGTTTTTTTAGCGAGTCGCTTTTCTGATGGGTGGGGTTGCTGATCCCGTTGCCCAACCCTCCTCCTTCACCCGGGATTGGGACCAGCAGTAACCCCGGAGAGGACCCGGGAAAAGTTTATTCCACTGATGGAGTGGAACAATAAAGAGAAATAGTTTCCTGCTTTTACCTGAGATGCTTGATTACAAAGCCTTCCAGATATTAAGAAACTCACACGTATTCTCCCTCAACAGACAATCCTAGGATACAGTCCTTTGAAAGGAATCGGAGGTAACCTTAATATCAGGAGGTGTAGCGCCGCATCAAAACGTAGAGGGTGACGCTGTGATCAATGCATCTACGACCTGGAGGCAAAACGACCAGCTTTCCTCGAGTCACTCTCCCAGGAGTTTCGAGCATTCTGTGAACTATGATGGAAGCCAATATTTTGGACGTAATCGGAAATAACTTAATCCTCCGGTAATTGTTGCATAGATTATGTAAGTTGTTGTTATAAATAAGAACGATAATTGCTTCAATCCAAGATATTGGAGCACTGTAAATCCCAACAATTCAGATCTCAGACCAGAAGTTCTTCACAAACCCTAAAAATAGTTAGGAGTAAGTCATCCGAGTCATATCGGCTTATGGCGCTTGAGGAGTTGAAGTTTCTCAGAGACCTTCACATCGCCAGATGGGTCAGTCGTAACCAGTCAGAGGGGATATAGGAGTCTGATATCTTTGCTGAAGCAACAGACCCACCGAACTGTTCCTCGAGAAACTCTGCTCTTTGTACAAGACATCAATGGGAATTACCACTTGGTGTACTGTCAGTTTTATAAATTGTTTAATCGATATATTTACAGTTGCCAGTGGTTCGGACCAGTTGAAACGGATTTTGATAGTTGGCGTGTGTGACGCTTACTTCCAACTCGTTAACACGCTCCAAACACCATGTTTCTCAGTCCTTAATCAAACTTTATGAAACTTACCGGCGTCAGGATCTACATGTAGTATCGGACCTGCAATTTGCCGGAGTAGCCCAATAGATATCTAGTGCTTCAGCTGTTCTAATTGAAAGATAGAGAAATGAGAATTCGGGAGACTAACTAATCGGGCGGTAAAAGAAAACATAACCATGTTTATGGAAGTCAATAGAAAACTATAAGTTACCAGTATAAAGTGCAAGAGTGGAATAAAAAATAGAATAACTACCTCAAATTTATTTTCTAAATGTAATCGCGTGACAGCCCAAAGGCTACCTTGAACACTTTCTTGAAAGGTTTGAGCATCAGGATAAAGAACTCCTTTGGTCCGGCATCCATATATTTGTAAACCATCATATCTTTGACTGCCTTCAGTTGTCCAACGAGATGCCCTGTAACGTAATCTGCGTGATTTTGACGATGGACCAATATCTCCTTGCTCACGAGCCAATAACAAATTGAACGGATGCCGCATAAATGCTCGAGATTTGATGTCCTTACCATCATCACTGTTTTGAACAGATGAATTAGAAAGATTGAATGATGGGTTAACTGAAGTCCCAATATGATAGGCACTACCGATTCTTAAGTCACTTTCAAGCTGTTTCTGAAATGTAACAAACAAAGATGATATGTACATGAGATTTTTAAAAATGCTTGCAGAAAGCATACAAAATACTACGTTTCGTCTGGAGATGGAAATCCGTGGGGTAAGGTGAGGTGTGACACTTTTAGAGTCGACCTTTTCTAACCCTTTCATTTCTTGTGAGAAGGAAGCATCACAGCAGATGCTGGTTGTCTGAGGGAAACACATTACTGCTGTCACACCCCTCTCTATAGTCAGCAGTACAACTTCGCCCTCAGACCTTCAGTAACTGCTTTTAGTCTCATTATTCTCCGATCGACCTGCCTGGCATGGTAGGGGACCTAAAGGAATATAAGATCCAGCCAATATAGCTCGGTTTGGTCATCACGATAGGCAAGCCCTATCACGATGTCAAGGTAGCAGCTACGGTCGGTCATGATGATTACTTAGGACAAGGAAGTTTTCTTCCGTACATTCATTTTTACTGATAAAAACCTAATCAACAAGGCATAATCAACATATAAGGTAGTACAAATATGCGTTAACTTATAATTTTATTGGTATTTGAGCTAGAATATCAATTGTCAGACACTGTCACAGACCTCGTTCTCCAGTTGACCTGAATGGCAAATCGATATAAGTCCTCCAAGTCTTTATGAAGTTAAAAAGGCTATAGGAAATCTAAAGCGAGGTAGAGCAGCAGGTTCTGACAGGCTAACTCCTGAGATTTTTAAGAATGGTGGTCCAGTTTTAGCATTCAAATTGACTAAGATCTTAGGTAGTATGTGGGAACTAGACGTTATTCCATACAAGTGGTCTCAATCACTGATCGTCCCATTCTATAAGAAAGGACAAAAGTCCTCTTGTGACAATCACAGAGGGATCAATGTCTAAAATGTTAGCCTTGATAATACTTGGACGCCTAATTAGGGCATGTGAAGAGCAGACTCGAGAAAGCCAGGCTGGTTTCAGACCTGGACGTTGATGTATCAGTCGGTCACTTACAACATAGAACTTCGTACGTAAGTACATCAGTTCAAGTTGCCATACCACATTAGCACAGAGACACAATTGTCAATTCAAATCCCATAGTAGTAAAGGTAGTAAAAGTATTAGAAGTAATCGGAGAAATTAGGGTTCGAAGATGTTATTCAAGGAGTATAATTCAGTGAGGTAAACGTAGAAAAAGAAAGATAGAGGTGATAAGAAATTCAGGTTAGAATTTGAGAGAACAAAAAGAATGGATGCACCTGCGTCATTGCCAACGGTTTCGATCCATGTCACTCAGGGTCTCTAACCATCGAATGTTATCGTCTCGCGAACCTCAATCACACGTCAGGTTCTGGAACATAAACACACATTTCGGCGTCCGACAATAGTAGTATTTTTCGAACTTGAAGCGGCATTCGACTCTGTCAATCGTGAGGTTTTATGGCAATGTTCGCCATTAAAATGAAAACCAGAGAACTACATTCACCTTATACAAGCTCTCTACTTGAACACCACTGGCCGAGTCAGAGCTTACGGCGATCTATCATTGTAACTGATTACTTTTTGTTCTTTGAAATTCTAACCTTCTGAAATCTTCATCACTTCAATATTTCTCTTCGTAAATTCTCTGAGCCGCGACACCATAACATCCACCTAGGTGTCTTTCATTTTCACTTATTCTACCTACCTGAGCATTAAAGTCACCAGCCATTATTACAACATGAGAGTGCCTAACTTTGTGGAGGAAGTCCGAAAGCTTTCTGTAAATCTCATCTTTAACCTCATCTGAACTGCAGTCAGTGGGGGCATAGGCAGATACGACGAAGAGGCAACAACGGGTGTCCCTATCTTTCCGAGTCCTTACTGTCCCGTTTAGTCGGACAGCGCACAAGCAACTATCTACTGGAATCCAGTCTAGGAGAGATCGTACAGCTCTACGACTCAATGCTATGCCTACGCCAGCGAGACCCCGGGAAGCAGCATCAGAGCTACCGGATACACGAAGAGTAAATCAAGCTGCTTTTTTATTTTGACAAGGTGAAATCAGGTTAATGACTTTACTAGGGTCCTGTATGCGTGTTTCTGAGACGCAGCACACATCGATTGAGCGAGATTCTATAGTTCCAGCTAATGATGCCTGTTGCCCTACTTGACACAATGTCCGTACATTAAATGATCCAACATGTAGTCTAGAGCGGGGTTTCAGGAGACCAGAACTGACGTTTCGTGAACTCGCATCGTTTGCATTAGCTGTTCACTATGATAAATGAATGTGAGAAGAGTTAGTCGTGGAGATAAGAGAGGTACTAGGGGATGTAGAAAGGATTTGATTTTGACCAATTTGGTCTCGTGTGCTGGTACGGATATGAGGGCGGTCGTCACTTCTCGGCTGCCCACACCGTGGAAGGTTGTTTCTTGAGGGACCTGAAAAGGAAGATAGATTAGTGTTGGTCTTAGAGGCCTGGGTGCCTGACCGCAGAGCCCAAGAGACAACTGCTTGGGGCCAGTCACTCACGGCCTTTAGATGAAAGTTTTTGAGTATTAGCTCCGCTCTTAAAAGCCCTTAGTGGGCACCCTTACCCAAGGAGACGGAAATCCGTGAGGTAGGGTGAGGTGTGACATTTTCGGGGTCGACCTTTTCTAACCCTTCCTTCCTTGTGAGAAGGCAGCATCGCAGCAGATGCTGGTTGTCCAAGGGAAACATCTTACTGCTGTCACGCCCCTCCACAGTCATTCGGCAGTACGACTTCGCCCTCAGACCTTGTGTTAGTTATTTTCATAACTAATTGTAGTTATGCCATAACTAACCAATCAAATTGTGGTTCAAGCGCCCACCACGTGATCTGATCTGACATGTCTGTAAACTTTCTTTGTTGTAAATGACCTACTAATTGAAGGAAGTTATTATCTTATTATATTGATGTGACACATAGTTTTATTCATTTCCAAAAACACGCTACATTGGTCAGTATGTTTGCTCGTCTTACTTGATAATTGTAATTTCCTTATTTATTGTACTAATTTAATTGTTTTTATGTTTAGAAACAGATAAATTTTAAAGCAAAAGTTGGTCTTGTTCTGACTATAGCTTTCCGATATACTCTGTGCTCGCCAATATGGCGTTTACCGTTCTAGAATTACATCTGTAGGACAAACTAAATCCTACACCTCGGGTAGCTGCTTTTAGTCTCATCGTTCTCCAATCGACCTGCCTGGCATGGTAGAACCTTCACAAACATATGTTCCAGTCAGTATAGCTCGGCTGGGTCATCACGATAGTCAAGCCCGACCACCACGTCAAGGCAGCAGCTACGGTCGGGTCTATGTTGTTCGCGACTGACAGGAGTGCAAAAGCTTACAGATGACTGTATAATTGATAATAAAACTTCGAAATGATTATCAAGTCTGAAGCCAAAAATCTTTTGTCGATAGATTTCCACTCACAAATACCCTATCCCATGAAATTTATATGGATGATAAAAAGTTCTACGGTCTTATATGACTAGTCTACGAAACCACAGTAGGAGAGTTTAACAGGTATGAAAGTATTTCATGCAGTTTTACCTATTTTTGTTACTTAAATACACAGAAAGATGCTGAATTAAATGTCACAGGATCGAAAGAACACTAAATATGTCAATGTGGATTGAACAAAGCTGCTTTAAATAAAACACAGATATATTAGGATATATAACAATCTTATTCATAAAAATCCAATGAAATACCTTGAACTTGCTGTAGTCACCATCCTTTGGTTGAAGGTTGAATGAATTTAAAGAATTGACTAGGACAAATGTAAGTAGGTATTACGATTTACCGATGGGAGAGAAAGTGTCATCATCACTACTGGAAGACGTTGAATTGATGACTAAAATATGTGAGGGGAAGTATAAAAGACGTTACCAACATTATCATCGAGTGATTCTTGCGGACTAAGCTCTGAATCGACAACATGCATCGCACCAAAATATAAAAGTAACGCAACCGTTTGAATCCAGTGGGACTTAGTCGTGGGTATTCTCCAATAGTAATCTTCAGTTTTCAGTAGTAATGATAAGAAACCAATCAAAATATATCGATCCTTGAAAATTATAGTACTGTCAGATATAATCTCCTTCTGAATGTATCAATAGAAGTTGCTGTGATAGGGAAATCCATTATTTCTCGATGCGAGAATCATCAGGAAAAAACAATCTGATCTGAGTCTTTGAACTTTCTCTAGATAGAGGGAAGGGTTAAAACAGATTATTACCAAAATCATCGTTCAGTATACTTTAAGCTAGTATCATCTCATAACCAACAGTAAGATAATGAAAATAGGTTAGGGCGTCTCAGTCAGCGTTCAAATAATAGATCATTGAGACCCTCCATCATTGGAGTCCATTTCAGTTGAGTTCGCTCTGTTATATTCTCTACCTATATGGAACAAGGACTAACTACTTGAGTCATATATTCTAAATACAGCCTGATATTCTCCCAGTATCCTGTGCATTTCATCTAAGTAAATGACTTACGAACGGTCCATACCATCTTGAAGCCTTTTACAGTGATAGCCTTACAGTTGCTCGAAATCTTAAGGTTGCCGATTATCATGACTCCTTTATAATCTATTACTTTACATAACACCATTTTACTCATTGTGTTGTATGAAATGAATGGGCTCAGTTAACTACTCTCATCACTACGCTTTTTCTGATGTACACTAAATCGGTCGCTAAATGTTAGCATCATGTTGGGATAGTCAATCGAGAAGAAAGCCACGCACATTGTGGATTGATGAACTATTTGATTAATGATGAACTATATGATTAATGTTCATGGTAAACTATTTGATTAATGATGAACTATATGATTAATGTTCATGATGAACTATTTGAATAATGATGAACTATGTGATTAATGTTCATGATGAACTATTTGATTCATGTTCAAAATATTAAACGACATTTATATAATTGTATAAATACGCATGTTTGATTGTATATTTTTGATTCTGATAAGGAGTGTTCTCCAACGTCTTCCGTCTTCTTATTTTTGAACGGAGGGGTCTAACGTTCGGTGTGTCATTAGTACAGTGGTTTGGTGTTACATCAAGTACAAAACATAAAACATCATCAGCAAAGAGTAGAACACATGGCTCTATTATATTCGGCAGTAATTCATATCGAGTAAAAAACTATCGGTAAGCTCATAAGAATGTAGATCTCAAAATAGCCTGAAGGTAAACAACTCTTTAGTTTGATAGGCTAGTCATAAAAATTTAGCCCTTCAGGTTCATCTATATATTTCCTAACAACTCTGTCAAGTCATCTACATTTTTACTATCCTAAAATATGACCCCCTAAATATACTTGTGACAAAACATATCTAATTGGTGTCCGGAGTATGCTCCTTACCGTCATATTATTAACAGTATGGTAGTAGAGACAGAAGCACTTCACTTCATCGGCATAAAGGTGTGAAGTAAGAAACTTCAAGTCAATCTATTCTCCTTTTTGCATCTAAATCTCCGCCAAAATGGTTTTCACCCCAATAAAAATTTAAAGATGTTGACTGGTTTTTTACTATTATACAAGTATAGTCGCTTGAGACTGTTCTGGACAAGCATCTACTAAGAGAATAACAATTTTACAAACTTTTCACGTCTCGGTCACTGGTTTTAAGCCGCTCACTTTAAGAAAAAAGAACATGGGCTAATGCCTTTCCCTATGTCTAAGATTCTTTCAGTCCACTTTGTTAACTGAGGAGAGCGGCTAATGGGTCTACCTGTGTCTAACCGTGGTCTAAAGGGACTTAACGGAGCTGGAGATTCGGTTGAAATTTTAGCTTTGTTGAGTTTTTTGCCCAATGGTTTGTCTGCTGAGCCTTTTTAGTTACTATGGTTACTGCCATTAGCTCTAATTTCATGTTGAAACAATCTGTGATTTATCAACTACAGTGTCCACCAACTAGTGTGGCAGTGAAATATATTGCCCAATAGTTAAATTATCTACTTCTAAATGTTTGACTAAACTTGTTTTGATCACGGATAATGTTACAAGCTTTTAACATGGGCGATGAAACTTGATGATCACCAGTTATATGGGACAACAAACCTTCAGGGTAGTTATAACCTCCAGCCTAAATAGCACTCAGTCCGAAAACCGAAACCGTTGATTTCAACCATAGTATTTGGATTTACACACTTACCGTTCTGGAGCACACTTCACGACCACTGTGGAGCCTAGTTTTGAATTTATCATCTCTTCACATACAGGATGAAATCCTGCATTTTAAACTACGTTCAGATACTTCAGCATCCAGGACTAGTGACTTGCTCTGCTCCTTAATGTATTTTAAGACCAAATCGTTTAGTGAACGGAATGGGTCACAATAAACAGGACGTACTATAGATGTAAAACTGGGAAAACGGAAAACAAAACCTCCGCTCTGATGAGATTCATAAGCTTAGTCAGGTAAATTTAAGTGCTTACTGTAGTTTCGCTGGCCTTGAAAAGACTACTTGTACCGTCCCTTGGGTGGATATTATTCAGTAACTCAGAAGTAAAATTAAAAATACTATGATAAAAACAGTTGAACTATGGATATTATGATAAGGTCGTAATTCGTCCACTAGTTTCGCAAATCGATTTCCATAACTTTAAATTCCAGTTTAAGATGAGAGGTTCACTCACTACTGTAGTCCAAACATGATTGAAGCAATGTCCCACGATTCATTCCTGGCTTGTTGTTAGATAATTTGCCGAAAGTATATGTTTAAAAATTTGTAAATTTATTTCGACAGTGGCCGTCCCAATTGGTTCCAATAGAAGCACTCCTGTACGCTTTTCCTAGTCCCGGGTCCCAATCAATTCAAAAAAGGACAAAATTCTAGGAGAAAACGTCTCTGTATTTAGTTAGAAAATGGAAATACAAAGCCTTACGGAAATTGTGTTTCTTCCAGGGTTAAGCTACTCCGCAGAGTATCCGACACAATAACCAATAAGAGAAGCTAAGTCCAGCAGCCACTGCGTCCGTCCGAAAAATGTGGCGGTAGCCATATTATATCAAATTTAAACAATATATGTACAGTTCAGAAGCAAACACAAAAACTTCAATATAAGTGCAAAATATAGAAAGAATAACAATATACAATGATAAAATCTCAAATTGGAATCAAATAAAGTACCAAAAATGTCAACAGAAAAAGTCCGTCATATCATAGCAAAAATATGTAAACATGGAGGGGTTTTCCAAAACACAAACATTCAAAAAGAATTCTACAAAATTAATGATGATTGAAAAGAAGATCTACTGCAATCTAGTACTTAAATGTACAGTGAAACAGACATTCGCATCAGACTTAATGTGGGTCTTGGCTTAGGCTATTTTAAATTGGTCACCGGAGTCGTCTATCTTGATAGTACTGGGTAGAGAACATGTAAGGAAAGATGAGGTGATCTGTACTGATTCCGATACTCAGTAATAGCTTTTACTCAGCGAGTCGTGCTATCCTTGTTTTCACTGAACAGTGAAGAGACAAAGGACAGAGTTTCAGAAGCCTATGCGTTCTCAAGTTCATACGTTAGACACCATCGTTTATTTCTCAAAACTAAAAGAATTCATTTTGAAACGCTTTTTCTCAGAATTCGTTGTTATGCAATCTCAGAGCTTTTAAACTACTCTTTTTTGATAGTGGCTCCAAACATCATCAAACCTTCTGGAGATCTATCGGACTCCCTTTTCAGGATTCTAAGCATCTTCACTGATAATGTGCTTCGACGGGACATAGTGATCACTGCCTTGTTTTATCGATTACATTCATTAGCCGAAATAAATAAATAGCTTATGGATCATAAGCTTCATTTTCTTTTTACAGTAGGGATGCTGTTAGTTTCTGGTGGGCGGCCTATGCTCCAATGGGAGTAACAGGCGTAAGTAAGTAAGTAAGTATGCTGTTAGTTTACGTTTAAGTCAAGTTTTAGCTTTTAAACAAACCAACCAATATTTCCTCGTTCATTATTCAAACGTTTTTTGACCATGTCAGTTACTCGTTAAAACCTTCGTCTTTTTATTAGTGTGTATGTGCGTGGCTTATTTCGCTTATCATATGTGGAGCTTACTTTCCAGTGACTAAGATCAATTATTCATCAAATGGAGTTGAACCACTCAACTCCTCTGTTTTGCTTCGCTTCACTTTAATGCTCGTTATTCTAATTACCATCTGTACTAATGAGTGTATGAAACGAATCCATCCATATGGACCAGTGTTGGACTCCTTATTACAGCCATCACGCAAACGAACTTTACCTAAATGTCATATGAAGAACTTAAATGAAAGATATAACTTCGCCGGTTACATACAACACCTGTAATGATCCAGACCCGTTACCGAAGTGAATACATATAAACTTCGTGAAAACACTGATCCATCCGCATCGTACTCTAATCTTCCGACTGGCTCACTGGAAGTGTGTTGTGAACTTGGTCACGACCCCTCATTACCTTATATACCGCTCATAGATCTTAATACAACTAACCTCAAACCTAGGGACTTGAAAACATCCAGTGCTTCCTAGATTTCGTCCGAAACAGAGTATCTGCTTGAGACTGTGGCTAGCCTTAGACATTGGGAGAGCCGACTGGCTCAAGGAGTTTATAGCAACTCACAGATTGCTGGTATGTCTGTCTGCCATAGGAGATCCAGTGATGTACATCTGGAGTATTCGCCCACAGATATATTCGTTACCTCAGATGAATATACTTAGACTGAGCAACCACTAACCACTTGTAACAAGTCTGATCACGATTCATTTAACTCAAACAGCTGCGAATCCAACCCCGATACTTTCGCCAATAATAATTCTGAGGACATAATCTTCGAGATAAAGTATCTGCGGTCAAACTTGAGAAGTATAGATCCAAAACTCGAGAAAACTTCTTCCTCTCTAAGTGTGCACTTATATGGAATAGGCTTCCCTCAAAAATACGCATGAAAAGTGGGTTACATGAGTTTGTTCAACTTCTTAATGATGC